CAGGATTAGGGGTTCAGCCTGACTACCGGCTGGAGCAGGGGACACAGGGCTGGCAGCAGCACCACATCGATCAGGCCATCAGCACCACTGTCACCAAGCCCTGTCCCAGAAGTACATGACACCATCAGCTCTGCTCTGGCAGTGGCCCACAGCGCGCCCAGCACAGGATGTGTGGGCGTGAGGTGGCCAGGAGGTGGCTGCCTGACCTTTGCGAAGTGTCCCTTGTGTTTTCCAAGCAAATCCGTATTACCGGCCCTTGCACGAAGGGGACCCAGGCAGCAGAACATTGCCACAGGTACAACCATTGCTCTTGGGGTTCCGGAGCACCTTTCTGATGTGGAGAAACATGGGCTCTGCCTGGCACGTGCCCACAGCTCCTGTAACGCACCAGGCTGAAAGGTGCCCAGTGAGACCGCCTGTCCCGTGGCAATATTGATATTTCTGCTAAGGGGGTAGTTGGAGTGGCTGAGTGTTAAACTGGTGTAGCCCCATCACTCTCCTGCTGCCACCTTTGCTAGCTGCTTCTAGTGTGCTTGGTTTCAAAGGGCACCTTAAATTTCTCTTTCAAGCCAGCCGTTTTCATAGCAGGAAGTTTTACTGCAGTGTGGCCATTTGCCAGAGAAAGGCCATCGCCTGCTCATGTGGCACTGCCAGTGCTGCTGGAAGGTGCATGGCAGGTGGGTGAGTCCCTCCACATGGAGATGTGCACACAGGCTCTCCATGTGAGTAAAAAGCATGAGATGCCTGTGACTGGACCATCTGATGTCCCACAGGGAGCCCCTGCCAGCCACCAAAGAGGAAACTGATACTTGTAGGAGCCTGGAAATTCATTACCACGTACACTCGGCAGAGGGAAATAAAGACCTGAAGAGAGAAGCAGGCCCAGCAAGTGCTTTGTGTCCTTTCAGCAGAGTTTGCTGAGAGGCATCACATTCCTCAAAGTATGAAGATTGGCTCCTGACAGCAGCTGAGAAATGGGTCAGGTCCGAGCCACCACTGCAGGGTCTGGACAGAAGAACGTGCAGAAGGACAGCTGCCCAGCTTCAAGGGCTGCACGGCAGGCAGTGGGTGCCAGGCCAGATGCTTTTCACCACCAGCTCTGTTTCAGGTCCTGTCCTTGCACATCCCTCTAGAGCACCTCAGCCAACAAGGCCTCCCAGGGCAAACACTTTGCCTGTAACAGATCCAACATGCTTCACACTAAACAAGGCAGCTGGCAGCATTGTGGGTGTTCCCAAAGATCAAAGTTACAGAAAGGGAGGGGAAATCCAGGAAGAAAGTATGAAACAGAGAAAGGACTAATGTCAGATATCCCTGGAGGTTAAGGATTGGAAAAGGAGGCTACAGAGAAAGAAACATGCACTAGAGAAGCAGTCGTGCTCAGGGAAGACCTCTTGCCATGCAGTTGTCGTGTTTAGGTCAAGCTCATCTCCCCAACACCATTTCAGTGTACCTGGCTAAAGCATGCATCTGTACCAGGTGCTGAAAGCTTCCTTCACTTGCAGTTTGCATCAAAGTAGCCTCATCCACACTGGTAACAGGTAGGACACCACCTGGGAGAAGACTGGGTACACCACTGCTCCCTGAGTGGCACCCACATGTGAGATGGGTTCTGCCCCAGTCCAGACCAAGACACCTTGTGGTGGTTTGATATAAAAGGGTTCTGGTGGCAGGAGAAGGGATTTGCTCCCTGTGACTTCCCTGGTTTTAGAACCGGGTCAGACCCGGTTCTGGCCACCATATCGGACTTCCATCCCCCTCGGGGCTGAGCCAATTGGCACCTCTGCGAATTGACCTATTTAAGTTGGGACAAAGGAACAGAAAAGGTGTTTTGCCTGGGAGTGAGGGGAGAAGGGAGGAGGGCTGCCCCCGCTCCCTGGCTCCCGGACAGGGGCTGCCCACGCCAGGCCGGCGCCACCCGCTGAGGATGGCAGTGGCAGAGCCACCAGGGGAACTTGAGGAGTGCCCTGCTCCTGGGGTGCCCACTGGGCTGAGTTCACCAAGAGAGGACTGAGATCTGAGAGAAATGGTCACACAGACACCGGGTCAGTGAAGATGGAATGGGACAAGGTGTGCCGGAGCTGAGTTGGTGCAAAGACGGCAGGCAGCCCTCCTCCAGCCAGGACGGACTCGGTGGAGCAGAGCCCCACTTGCAGCCTGTGGAGAAGCCCACGTTAGAGAAGAGATGCCTGAGCCTGAGGACGGTCGTGGAGCATGGGACGCACGACAAGGTAGAAACGCATCTAAAGTCTGTGTGACAACTCACGCCGGAGTGAGTGGCAACAGCTCCCTAATAATCCAAGACTGGTAAAGCCCGCACTGGAGCAATCCGATGGGGAAGGATTGCATCCTGTGAGTAGGGAAGTCTGTGGATTTTTCCTTGTGAGTAGGGGATCCACTGGAGCAAGGGAAAAGGGTGTAAGGACTCCTCTTCCTTTAAGAAAAGGAGCGGCAGGAGCAACATGGGATGAACTGACCTGCACTTCCCCATTGCCTATCCCCCTGCACCGCTGGGGGAGGAGGTAGAGCCAGGAAGAACAGGAAAGGGGAAGGAGGGGGAAGGCGATGTATTTAAGATCTGGCTTTGTTTCTTTTTATCCTCTCAAGTAACTGGTTTTGTTTGTCCTTATCCTTTTAAGTAACTCTTAATATTAATTGCTTTGCTTTAAGAAAGCCAAGTCTGTTTTGCCCGGGACCATGGTTGGTGGATGCTCCTTCTCTGTTCTTGTCTCGACCCTCAGTCCTTTTATTATATTTTTCTCCTCTTCACTTTACTGGAGAAGGAGTGAGAGAGCAGCTGTGTGGAGTTTAGTTGCCGGGTTGGCCTAAACCACGACACACCTTCTCACTGCCTTTGCGTCTAAGAGTCAGGAAAACAGCAATAATGTCAGGGCTTGGTTATTCATATGTGAATGCTAACTCTTTCAGTCCTAGCATCTGAAGCACACCTGGCTGATTATCTTCTTAACCTTCACACCCCTGTGCTCAGCACTGGCCAAAGTCCAGGGCAAGCTTTAGGAGCTTTCCCAGCATTTCAGTTAGGGACAAGGCTAGGACCTGGCAGAGACCCAAAGGAAATGTTATCCATCTCGTTCTATGAAGCGATGACCACCACAAGGACATTGTGACAGCTCTCCTGTCTCTTTCTTGTCCCTGAAATGAGTTCAAGCTGTTGCATTCAGGCCTGAAACAAGAAGGACCAGGTAAGGATGAGATGGTATCCCTGTCTCACACTTCTGCCTTTCCCGCTGGCAAGCCATGTCCTGCTTGCCCTCTTCAGTGCAGCACTGAGCTACTTCTTGCTTGACAATGGTCAGAGCTGCCTGCTAACACAGAGAGCCACCAAAACCAGCTCTGGAATCAGCTCCACCATCTCACTCAGCCAGGAATGCACTCAGCATGGTCAGGCCTGGCACAGGCTGCCACAGTGCTGAGCTCTGGCCAGAGCCCACCGTGGCCTGACCCAGACACAGCACAGGAGGACGGCGTACGTAAAGGTAACATTTACTGAGAGATACAGAACTGAGTATTATGAAGGACATACATGGATGGAGAGGGTAGCAACACCACTGCGGAGGGCGGCTTGGACCCCTTTCCCAGCACGCTGGGGAAGGAGCCGGCTGCTACCGGACAAGTAACACAATGGAGATAACTGTGGCATATGCGTTTGTAACAAACAGACCATCATAACATACATTTCTATGGGATCACATCTAGTGATTATATAAATCAATATAGAGATCGTTGTATAAAAACTTTGTAAAAAATACTTTAAAAAAAGTGTAAAAATGTGCATTCAAAAGCACGGCCGACACGGACAGCTGGGCTGTAAACATTATACTGAGAGTGTGCTTGTGGGGGGCGCCTGCGCCACCGAGCCCCGCCAGGCCTGCCCACCAGACGGGGCTGCGTCAAGTGTTTGCGGTTCTTGGGTTTGGGTTTCCCTCCGGAGCAGGAGCCAGGAGTGGCAGGGGGCGCCGGGGCGTTTTCCCCCCGTGCCCCCCGCTCCCCCGCCTGTAGCCCCTGCTCCCCACAGGGCGCATGCTCCTCGCGGGACATGCTGTGGCGTCATGGGTCCCCGGGGCCACCAGTGGGCTGAAGGGCCATGATGAGGTATCACAGGGAGGTTGCCCTCACCCATGCCGCTAGCCTCGCTCCTGGGTTCAGCCTCAGAGTACATGGTTGACAGGTTCCTGATCTTCTCTGTCCCCATATTTGTTTGGTCCATAGTTCCCAAGGAAGCCCACTGGGTCCTGGCTGCACCAGGCCTGGGTGAACAGTTCTTCATACAGTACATACATTAAAGACCCTGGAAGACCCTGCGCCACTGTCTCCTCCTCCTGGCCCAGTGCCACCTTCACTTCTTCTCTAGCTGCTCCAGCAGTGGGTTGGCTTCGCTCTCGGGC